TTTCTTTTGAATTCGCTATACCTCTCTTTGATTTGTAAACAATTTCACATGTTTTCTTGTGAATTCGCTATACCTCCCTTTGATTTGTAAACAATTTCATATGTTTTGATTAGCAAGGTGGCATTGGCTTTAAAAATTTCTTCAAACACATCGTTTTTCATTAATTTTTTTTTTATTTACACTTGAAACTCAACTAAAATAAATTAACAGTCGAATTCGATTGCCTCTTAAAAGTAAATTTTATATTAATTAGTATTAAAAATTAGTATAAAGTATATAAGAAGAAATAAGGAAAAAAAAATTATTAAATAATAATTCATGCACAAATAAATAAGAAAAAGGAAAAAAGCATGTACACAATTAACATAGAAGCCCACCCACAAATAAAATATTAATAAATATTATTTTAGTTTTTAACTAAGTTTATAATGGTGTTGGGCCAACGGGGAGCCAGCCATTCAAAACAACTGGCAATGTGCCTATCGCGGTTCCTCAAGGGTGAAAAGGGGAAAGGGGAAAAACCGTGCCAGAAAGCCGATACTTAGTGAACCCCTATCCCTTGGCAACCGATACAATAAACAACATCAATTAATTTTCGGATCATTATGAGATATTAAGTTTGTAAAGTTAGTTTAAATACGACGTGGGGGGGACAATAAAGCTTATCTCACTAAGTAATGTGGACGATAGTACCATGCTGGAATGGGGAAATATAAGATTTGATAGCAAAATCTAGATGCTGAGTAACAATTCGCTTAAATAATTTATCTAAGACACTCTACTTGGCGATGCGTCTATCTATACGTGATATCTATTTCCAAATTTTTGAATTGAAATAAGGGGCCTAGTCTTCTAACACAAAGGGAAAAAACTTGATTTTAAGGACTGATTAAAACACAATTGAAATGAAACCATATAGCTCGACAGAGGATGTTTTAAGTATACATGATGGAATGCCATCATGTCCAGGCGCAGAGAGAGACCTTAAACCATCTAAATCATCATTTTCTGAAGTGACCAAGTTAGGAACCAAAACCGAGCTAGATGTCGGATACGGATAGTTGACAGGTGAATCGGAGTTAGCAATCGAAAAATTTCGTCGCATGTAGAGATTCGAGGTTTCAAAATCATTAGAGGACTCAGAGCCATTGGAAGAAACATGTGAATTATATATGGACATTTTTCTTTTGGAGTTAATAAACTTAAAAAAATATCTAGGATTCACAAGAAATGGCGATTTTTTCAACCGCAAGTGTCTGCAATAATATTGCTGGTTGAGGTAATTAAATCAATGGCTTAATGCAGAATAGGTAAAATAGTCGTAAGCAGAACCGCTTTTTATAAATTGTTTGAAAAATTTGTTTTTCCTATTTTTGTAATATTTAATTGATCGGAACGGATGCAGAAATAGCTAGGTTTAATACGTTAAATAACGAAAATGTTAAGGTTTCAATATTTCCACTTTAACCTCAATTTATTGGCACCATATAAAAAAATCTTGCGGAAGAAGATTGTTACATACTTGATATGCAGTTTAATTATGTTTACGTTGCTTACACTATATTTACTTATGCAATATTCCTTTGAATTCCTTCCTCGGTGCGTAGTACGTAGTGCAAAGTACACTTACCTGAGTATCATGGGGATCCATTATGCCATTATGGCAATCAGAAACTGTTTTTACTATTCTAGACCTTAGTTGACCATCATGAGCCTGACGTACATTTCTATTCAATCGTAACCTTTACAAGGCGGTTAAATTTTTTGTGGGTTTCTCATGTTATTGTTGTTTTCCTATCGCTTTTGATTGTTTTCATTTCACTTTAGCGGAATACCATAAATTATTGTTGGGCTGAAAATTAAGCATAAGGTATGAATTCAATCACAATTTTGACGGTAGGGCTACGCTCGACTCAAGACCCATTAACGGCTCTACGCTGGAATGTGCTCATAATACCGTCATATTAATCACACAGTTCTCTTTCTGAGTCAGTCTGTTACAATCGATGTTTCATTGTCTATCGAAGAGGATTTTCTAGACCTTTTGGACAACCCTTAGCTTGCTGCACTTTTGTGACGTAATAATAACTTTCTAATGTGACATAATGTTTAATAGTTAATGTTTGCAGAATTTTTTTTTTTTTTTTTGAGTAGACATATAAGGCATATACATCCCTTATTAACTTAGTCCATTTAATCGATAGAATAATTCTTTTGTTATAAATTATAGAATTGCAAATTTCACTTGACTAAATCCAGATGTTATCCCTTGGACTAATGTATTCCAATGGAAGGGCTAAAACATGAATGTTTTTTAAGCTTAGTGCAGTATTGATACCATATATGGTAGATGGTCTTTTACAACAAGAGATGTCATGTTAAATCACTCGCACAATAGAACCATTTTTTTACAGTGTCTACATCCATAGCTTCAATTTCGTGTCAAGAAAAGTTAATCAGCATAGTTTGACAGGCGGGCGGTAATTGCCGAATCCGTGGAGATTTTGGAAAAAATGGCCAAACTATAGCGCCGTAGGAACAATATTGCTTGTTTAAGTTTGTATAAAAAGATAATGATCCTGTTCCGGCATTTCCAGCACTCAAGCACCGAGTATAGAAGGAAAAACTTCTTAGTCCGACTCGATCGTGGTTATTTTATACGGCAAATTACATTTGCGCTACTATATGTTATAGCGGGATCAGTTTAAGCTAAATCGATATTTTATTATAACAAAAGATTTGAAATGTTCTGAATTGGTATGGGTCTGTCCGCCTATCTGGTTGATGTTTTACTAATTTTTGTTGCGAAATATAAGTAATAGTAAATTTTTCGATTTTATGAATCGTCTCATAGAAATCCTTTTTAATCGGACACGTCCTTGGGCCAGAACATCTCCATGCACGAAATGAGTCGTCAAGCCGTTTAAGACTCAGAGTGCATCGTTACTGATTTAGTACACATACACCAGAAGGAAGTATATCGGACGATCCAAAAAGAGCTTATAATAGAAAATAGGGATTCGCTTAACTTAAATGACTTCGGTGGGGATTTTCTGAAAGTTTTCATCATTGTCGTAAATTAGAGTTTTGGAGAAATGTTCTTTCCTGGTATTATTAAGCGTTTCTTTGGGCTTATCGAAATAAAGCGCATTGTCGAGATTCCCAGTCATTGACGTTTGTTTTTTTTTTTTTTTTTTATTATTTTTTTTAATAAGATTCTTTCATTTATTCATTTAAATTTCAATTTTCTCTGACGGAAATTAAATGCTAACCAATGATTCAATCATATCACATGCCATAAGATCTTTTTGTTCATACAATGACCGACAACAAATGTGCGATATGCAACGAATCGAACATGCTCTACAACTGTGTAATAATAATTAATTTTTTAACAAAATTATTAAATTCACGCAATAGCAAACGAATATCAATGTACCTAAAATACAATACAAACCGTCTGGAAGGGAATATTGAGACGAATGACCATTGATCTTGGACTTTATGTGGTTTCTTTTCCTCTTTAGCTTTCATCATTTTGACGTGACTGTGTTGTTCTTTATACATTTATAATAAACAACATTTAATTGAATTACCACAAACATCAACAAGTTGATGATGATTGAGTGAGTTACTTACAGTGTGAAAAAAGGTAGAGTGCTTTGATGATTTAGCAAGACAGATGTAATCAATTTGCACACATTAAGAAAAATTGTAATGGTAGGAAACTTGTTCTTATTGCTACTATAACTAGGTGTTTTCACACCTTGGTGTCTTGTTTATTTGCAGAGTTGTGCTTGTGTCCATCGTTCACGGTCTTTACTTTTTTTTAATGGATGTTTGGTTTAGATGGTCGTACACAGAGATTTGTTCTTACTTTTCTTTCTTGTTTTTATATTACGATAACGTAGATTGACTTCGTTTTGCCCGATAGAAGACGGGAAAGATTGGAACGATATAATGTAAGTAAAACTAAATTATAAATGAGGACGCACTCATATTTGCATATACGAAGAACGGATAATGTTGCAGTTGAAGCAATGTTGATCTAAATTTGGATGCTGGGAATTCAAAAGTCACTCTAAATCCAATATAGTACATTTGTTGTTTGTTGCTTGTGCTTCCGTTGTTAATAGCCTGTAGCCATTGTCACCATTCTCGTCTTCATCAACCGTGGCATTATGTACATGCTCAGTATGAGTTGTGAAGAGATGTATGAGGTAAAGAGGATAACTTTCTGCATTGTGAATTCATTAGTGACGATGCAAGTAGTTGCTGGAGCTATTGTTGTTGTTGGTGCTATTATATTGTGACAACTGTTTGACGTATATATATATATATGTACATTGAGGAATTTCATTTCATTGCATTTCATTGTCAATGTGAAATTGAAAACGTGTTTTCATACCCGCCACCGAAGGATGAGGATTTATTCATTTCGTCAAAACATTTGCAACACCCGTAAGCAAGTATCTTCCAGACTTAATCAAGTCTTATGCGGTCTAAGTTCTTTACGCCTTTTGAATATCTGCCTGCTCGCAAACATGAAGGCATCGACTTCGAACTCAGCAAAAACAGTGAAAATTCTTGCGCGTACGTCAAGTCGTGTCAAAGGAGTTTTTAAAAGTAAAATAAAAAAAAAAAAATAAACGCATTACACAACACGATACAATTTTGCACATGTATTCAATAGGTGATTGGGCGGCCACGCCCTCTAAATATAGTAGTGTATTGAAATTTCATATTCTTTCCAATTT